TGATCCGGATGCAATTAATTATTTAATTCATTAATTCATTAATAAAATTTTTTACAGAGCTGCCTTGGCGGAGGTCTGCGCTCTCTGAGTGCTCTAGTTAAATATATGATAGTAATAAAAATGTGGCAAGACGAGATGGTCTATTGAACACACACTTACACTGCTACCCTATTCCGATGAGCTTGCTCGCTGTCGAAAAGATCCGCATCACGTTCAGTGACATGGACAGATGAGTTTTCTATAACATTTGTTGTGGAATTTAGGCAAGCTCACTAACTTGGGTTTACCCGCCACTTGTATGGGCGCATTCTATGAGAGCAATGGCCTCTCGTAATAATATGGGCACGGTCTTTTATCCTACGTACAATATCCTAATATAGGTCTACATAATTATTTGTAGACGGTATAATCAAGTCTTTACCCCCTATTATCGAAATCGTAATTTTTCCGAGGCAATGGATCCCACTTTTAGTCCAATGCAGTTTTGACTGGATAAGAGTTTTTACTGGATAAGCTTATTAATTACTTTGTGCAAACATCGTTTGGTGATATACTGCTCCTATTGCTGTTGCTGTTGTTGCTGTTGTTGTTGTTGCTGCTGTTGTTGTTGTTGTTGGTGGTGTTATTATTGTTGTTATTGTTGTTGTTGTTGTTGTTGTTGTTGTTGTTGTTGTTGTTGTTGTTGTTGTTGTTGTTGTTGTTGTTGTTGTTAATGCTGCTACTGCTGCTGCTGCGGCTGCTACTGGTGGTGGTGGTGGTGGTGGTGGTGGTGATGGTGGTGGTGGTCGTGGTGGTGGTGGTGTTGGTTGTCGGTGGTGGTGGTGGGTGGTGATGGTAGAGGTGGTGCTGCTGCTGCTGCTGCTGTTGCTGCTGCTTCTGTCGCTATTGCTGTTGCTGTTGCTGTTGCTGTTGCTGTTGCTGTTGCTGTTGCTGTTGCTGTTGCTGTTGCTGCTGCTGCTGCTTCTGCTGCTGGGACGGCGGCTGCTGCTGCTGATAATGATGATGCGGATGCAGTGAGCATATACACGAGCTGCCGGGGCTGGGCTCTACGTAACGCGATAGACGAGCTTCCAAATATAGATCCCCGGTTATAAACACGGGGCAAACCCCGAGCTCTTTAACTTTCAAACCGTCGAGACGTACTGTATACCAGCATCTTGAATGATAGCAGGAAATATAGCGCGCGGAGAACATTTTATGATGGTCCCGTTCTGCTCAGACTTAACAAACAGGAGCCGCGTGTCTCCTGGATTCCCACCTAGTCCTGCTGCTATACTGTTTTTTGTCCAGCGATTTGATCGCGACAGTGGTGTTGGGATCGCATCCTATAGTCATATTGATCATAAACACTTGCACGTTAGAACACACGGGTTTTTCATTGAGTTCGCGACACATTTCGTTTCGTTAGTTTGTATCGAGGCGCAAGTATATATATTATATTCTCGTCATTCTTAGAACGGTGATATGATAAATAGCCGGCGGTGAGTGGAAGCGGCACGCGATTCACGCAATCTGCGATTAGGAATAACGACCATCGTAAATGTGTCTGTCAAGTTTTATCTGAGTTTTATGTGTCGGTAATAGCAGTTCCGATATAACTCTTTCTATGTGCCACGTAGTGTCGATCTTTCCATTAATTTAGTTTATTGCGTTAGTAAAGGGAAGCGTATATATAGGTATAATTATCGCATTAGCATGTTTATCAGGATTTGCGAATGGCGCACCGACATCTCTTAATTCGCACCACGCCGTGTAGGTAACAACGAATGTCACGTCTTGACGATTGTTACTGAACCAGCTGAAAATTAAGGGGCTAAATGAGAGAGCCAAACACAGAGAGAGAGATAGTAACGGTTATCATGAGGGAAATAGATTAGTGGAGAGAAATCTAGATAGAGAAACAGACAGACAGTCAGGAAGAAACGGGGGCTAAAGCAATAAAAAATAATACGATAGACAGTGAGAGAATTAAAACGGGTGATATTTAGTGTGAAACAAACGCTCAGAAAGATGCACACGGCGAGAGGGAATGAGGGTGGAAAAAAAGGAGCGCACGAGAGAGTGGGAGAGAGCGAGAGCGAGAGAGTGGGAGAAATAGCTAGTATGAGCGAGAGTGGGAGAGAGGGTAAGAAAGAGTAGAGAGTATGCGAGAGGGAGAGAGAGAGTGAAAGAGAGGGAGAGGCATGAAGACAACTAGGAAAAAATAGAAATAGATTGATAGAGAGAGTGCGCCTACGAGCGAAAAGAAGAGAGAGAGAGAGCGAGAGAGAGAGAGAGAGAGAGAGAGAAAGAGTGAGAGAGAGAGAGAGAGAGAGAGAGAGAGAGAGAGAGAGAGAGAGAGAGAGAGAGAGAGAGAGAGAGAGAGAGAGAGAGAGAGAGAGAGAGAGAGAGAAGAGAGACGAAGAGAAGAAGAGTAGACGAGTAGAAGTAGACGGTAGTAGGTACGTACGGTACGTACGTACGTTACGGTAC